ATAGGAAACTTGCTTGAATAGCCTCATAAAAGCAGAACACCATCCACATCACAGCAGATGTGTAGGTGTCCAACAAATACACCTGCAGAGCACAAAAGCCTCAGGTCCACCACACCAATGCTGAACAGCCGGGTCTGGGCTAGCACGTGAAACTGAACCTAGGTGAGCTTGATAAAGGCACTTCGGATGCAGCTCTGTGCTCCAAGCACTGCACAGGTAAAGCTGAGGAAGGTGTGGAAACAAAGACTTCTCTTCTGCAAGAGTGCACAAGTGACCCCAAATACCTTGGTGAAGGCGGCAGGAAAAGAAGGAACCTGGGCTGCAACCAACAAAACTGTCTTGATTTTCACACAAATCATGGCAGCAAACATCAGCTTCAGTGGTTACACCTGAGCAGCAAGAAGAATCAAAATTCAGAGGCCAGAAACATCCAAGCACTACACACACTGTCTGTTTAACCACCACAGGCTGCAGGTTTGTTTTAGCTAATGCCCCTTCAGCTCTAACACCCGGCAAAGCCTTGAGAGAAATAACCACGGTCAACACCAGGGTCTGACCTCATCTAAGGCCTAAAACAATCCTTGAAGATCCCTGGCAAGCCTAGAGATGATGATACTCTCAACATTCACAGTTTCCTTTTTAATGTCAGAGAGAATCAAAAGCTGGAAGTCATCAAATGGTGAAACAACACTTATGCTCCCAAGGCTTCGGAGAAAAGGCTCACAAACATTTACAGGTGTGAGCTGCCCTGCCTGACACATGACTTTGCAGATACTTCATCCTCTGCAGATCAGAAAGCACCGAGAAGTGGGAAGAGACAGGCAGAGAAGGGCTGATTTCAGGAGAGGAGCACGAGTGTGCGTGGGAGGTGCAGCCTGGCAAACAGCTCATCCTTGGGGATGACCTTGAAAGGGAAATACCTGAGAGAAACACTCCTGAGAATGGCTGCAGTTATGGCAGCAGGATCCCCACAGTAACTGGAATCAAGCAAAGTTTTGCTGCTGTGACTGCAGAAGTTGTTTTTGTTTAATACACAGAGGATGAACCAAAAAACTCTTCCTTTTCTGGTGATATTTTTAACCATCCAAGCAGATTCCCACAGACAGTACAAACTGCCATGCTAACAAACCCACAGAAAGGTTCATGGGTTTGCCTTGCTTTTAAGGTCCAGTAACCTCTGTGTTTCTGTCTTCCTGCTCAAGTCCATGTCAATAAATAATGCAGCCTTCCCTGAGTGCTAAAAACAAGGAGGAAATCTCTCAGGAGCTGTAGTGGCACATATGGGAGCAGGGGTTTCTCTAGCAGGGACCTACACAGGGCAGCAGAAAGTTTCCCTCAGCTCTGCAGGTGGTGGGAAGAGCTGCTTCCTCTCTTCTCTGGTATTGCTCCTGTGCCTCCCTTGCAAACAGGGGCCATCCAAAACCTGGCCACAAGAAGCTGTGTGTCATGCCCAAAATGTCCTTGGACATACTAAGCTATTGACCCACTGTCCAATTTCAGTCAAATCAGGTCAAGACCTCAAAATAGCATCTGCTGCTGAGCCAGCACCAGGGAAAGACTCCTTTAGCAACTACACATCAAGTAATTAAAAAAGAACTGCAAGCCAAATTTACTCACCCTAACAAGGTATCACATCTCCCTGGTGACCACAGTAACACACAAGAGTTGGATAAAGTTCCTCATCTCAAAAAAAAAAAAAAAAACAAAAAAAAAAAACCCAAAAAAAGGGAAAACTCATTGAATTTGGGGGTTGAAGGGTTTTTCCCATGATTGTTTGATCAGATTTCCCACTTGGCCAGCAGCCACCAGTAAAAAACATGTGAAAAGTCATACAGTTGTCTTTGAATTTGTGGAGAGGCTACAGGTCCCCAGGAGAATGGATCCCATTGACTGAAGGACCTTTGGTTGACTCAGGCAACTGAAGGCAGGTTTCTCCTGCTTGAAAAGAAACATTTTCACAACATTTAAAATTTTGTTTTCCCAGATGCCAGAGTTACCAGCCACTGGATTTTCTCACACCTTTTCTGGGTCAAAGGGCTCTTTTCCATCCTTACATCCACAATTATAGAAATGGACACAGTAAGCGATGACATCCAGGGAAAAAAGCATCCTGCAGGTCACAAAAGCTGGGACCATCACAAAAAAAAAGGTGCCAGCCAGGCAGCAGAGCCACTCCAGCACAATGTGGATTTTCCTCTCCCTATCCCCTAAACGACCTGGCCTAACCCTGCTTTGCTTGGGAGAGCTGACAAGATTGCAGCCGGAGGTGGCGTGGCCACAGGCCAAGTTACATGAGTACTAATAAAAGAGACTTTGTGGAGGAGCCAAGTTAGTTCTTGTCCCCAACCAGTGGTGCCAGAGAGTGCTCAGAAAGAGAGGACAGTCAGCACAGCATCTTTCCTTGCCCTGGGAGCTGGGCTTTGGGTGAAATGCAACCTTCTGGAGAATAAAAACACATATTTTTAAGCCCTTTCTTTGCTGCTGTAGCCCAGCCTCAGCCCAGCACATCTCCTGCTTTAGATGTCTAAGGCTGACTCATCTGAACATTTTCCCTGCTATTCTACAAACTCATCTGTGACACCTTGGAGTCTGATTGTCATTTTCTCATCACAAATCATGTGCTTATGACCAAGTTGTGGATGTACTTTCTCAGACAAATTTGGTGGTGCTATTCAGATGTTTAAGATCAAAGCGAGTGTTACACACCATCAAAAACATGAACCTTATTTCTAATCTGAATGCAGATAAAATTAAGGTAAAGGAGATGTAACAGCTACATGAAAGCAAAGAAAAAGACAGCAAGTATACGCCTTTTTTTTTTGCCATTATGCTGAAATTGAAGCCCAGAATTTCAGAGCTAAAGGAAATCTGAATGCAAGAAGAACAGCAGAACCTGCATCCCCTTAACTGTGCCCTCCAGCAGCACAGTGCAATGAATGCCACAAGCTGACAGCTTAGTGTGGACACTGCCCTGGCATGCTGATGTTCCTCCTAATGCACATCCAGGAAGAGTTTCATGGCTTTTCCAAGGATGGGGGAGCAGGAAACACCAGGAACACATCGTGGGCCTGATGGAGATGCAGGCTGCCTGCATGGGCTTCGTGGTGAGGACCTAAGGCAGTGGAGGATCCCTTCCACCCGTGGTCACCATGATCTCTCCTCCTCCAAAGCCTGGCTGCCCTCTCACACAGTCCCAAAGCTGTCTGACCAAAACAGGCACTGCTTTCTCAGCCAGCCAGAATCCCCCTCTGCAGACCCAGCCATGCTAGGAGAGGGAGCTGCCACATCACCAGGATGCCACAGGGACATGGATGCCCTCTGACTTTGAGGGGAGCGTGGCCAGGAGTGGTAAACTCCATGCAGGGAGCACAAGACAGGACAGAGGGACTGTTTTAAGGCATCCCAAACGAAACTTGGCCAATGCTTTTGCATCTCTGCCAGTCATTCACATAGAGAAAACACCTCTGTTTCTAACACCAAGTTGGAAGCAGGTTAAAACACCAGTTTAATACTTTAAATGGAAGTTAAACTCCCAACATACTGAACTGTTGGAGAAGAGTCCCTTTGCCTTTATTGTTGGAACAGAAATCCCTCTACTCCTATTACCAATTTCCTCACCTAGAAATCTCCCAAAGGGTCTGCTGAGTGTTGTGACCCTTGTCCCTACAGGGATCTCTGCCTGGTTCATAGGAAGATCAGCTTGAATGTCACTTTTCTTTTGGTTCATTGCAAATTTGTAATAGAAATAAATTAAATACAAATAACACTTTCATTGTTTCGTTCTTATTGCAGCAGTAGGAGAGAGTTCAGCTTGTCTTTGCTGGGTCCTTAAAACCACCAGTGAGCAATAGATTCTCCCAAGGAGTCATCCCCTTTCTGCAGAAACAGCCTAAAAAGGTATTTGGGAAAGTCGAGCGCTTGTGAAACTCGAGGATAACTTGATGCAATACCAATGAGTTTTCTGGAGCTGGAGAATCACCAGAGCATCTGGTGAAAAAGGGAGGGGGGAAAAAACCCTTACATAGTGGGAACATCCCATGTGCAATGTGATGTCTGTACAAACTGCTTCTCCAGCAGAGAAATAACAGGCTGATGTACATAGCCTGGGGGCCTCCAGAGCGAATCCTGGAGGCATTTACCCACCTTGAAGGGCTGGGAACAGCTTAAAGAGCTTTCCAGAGGTACCAAGACTTTGCACACGCATGCACTTGAAGTTCCATCAGTACTTTCAGCAGTCTCTAGGTGGGTGCTCCCAGCCCCTCGCAGCCGAGCACTCCAACCTACAGCTCCTCAACCCATTCCCCTCGCAGGGCAAGGGGAATAACTCCAGATAAAGCATAAAGAGTAATCGCAAAGTCCATTTCCCCAGAGCAGCCGCGGTTCCTGCGGCCAGGGCTCGCTCACGGTGGGCACAGGGGTCTCGCAGCCCCAGCCCTTCTCCGTCCCCCTGGGCAGCCTCCCCTGGCTAATCTGACACAGCTCCACACGATTATGGTGGGATCTGTGTCACAAGGGCAGGAGACAGCCCCACAAGGCAAGGAATTAGCCCTCTTAAGAGTTTCTAGGCAGGTGTTTCATGTTTGAAAACTAATCCTCCACACCCCCCCCCATTAGCCCCCCCGCCCCAGCAACTTAATAAAAATTAAATTGGAAAGATGCTTACTTGGTTTGATGCCGTTCTTACAATGAAGAGATTCAAGCCACCACACACAGACACAAACATGCATCTCCCAAATGATCCACTAAACTTCAAAGCGGAGCGCAGCGGTTTGACTCAAGCCTGCAAAATTTCAGGCAGCCTGGTCTGGCTGTGCAGAAGTTCACAGCGCATAAAACCACAGGACAGCTTCAATCACACGGGCACTGTAGGTTACAGCCACATCCGAGCTAGGTTAAACACGGTTTTAAATTCCCTTTACACCCTCCTTGCCGCCACTGCGGGGTCAGTTCCTCCCTTTAACCCAGAAGGCACAGATCGCAAACGCAAGTAAAATACTTACTGCCAAAGCCCGCAGGAAACTTAATGAAGTGAGGATAATTCCCATACATGTTTAATCCTCAGTTCATCGCTCGCCTTTCTGGACACAACTGCCTCCTCTTAAACTTCAGAGCTGCCTGCGCCGCCGGGCTCGGGGCATGGCCGGGCAGGAGCGGGGGCTCTCGGAGGGTGCCGGGGCAGCTTCCTCCAGCCGCGGGCTCATCCTCGCTCACGCCGGCAGCAGCTCGGGCTGAGCCATCCCCTCGCTGCCCGCTCAGCTCCGGCTCCTGCGCTCGGCTCCCTGCGAATTGCCGGGCGGCATAATCGCCCGCCTGAGACGCCAATCAATGCACGGCGGCTCCGCTATAGATCGGGAATTGGGAGGAGGGGGGAGCAGAAGTCGTTCAGGGGAGGAGCGTGGTGGGAAGGAGGGGGGGATTTGCTTTTCCACCAGTGAAGGTTCGGTGCGATGTGTTGGGTGCAGCAGCTCCCCGCCGTGTGGAGGGTCTCTGATGCCAGGCAAAGGAGCAGCCCTCGCCACCAGTTCCACATCCCACGCCAAATCGTGCCTCAGCTGCGCTCCCGAAATCGCGTCACGGCCCAGCACCCCGAGGAAATGCCAGGCTGAGGAGGAGCAGCACCTTCCTGGGGCTAGCAGGGCTGGCAGCTCGACTCTCATCCCAGCCGCACCCAAAGGAGCACAAAAGACACGCAAACCACACCAAAAGCCTCGTTAACCAGCTGCCGAAGCTGTGTGGGGTGAGAAGAGGTGGGACACGGGACAGAGGCTCAGTCCGTGCTGCATACAGTCAGTAAGGTTCTCAGCAGAGCTTCAGACAGCCCCAGACAACATCCACAACTTCAGTCCAATGCCCAGCCCTCCCGACAATGAAGTTCTGCGGGAAATGTGCGGGAATCAGCAGAAACAAGCAGGCAGCTGCCGGCCGGGCAGAGCCACATGCGGTCCCCAGCGCTGCCCCCTCTACTGCCCGGTGCTCCGGACCAGGAGCAGCCCCAGTTCCCCAATTCCCAGATTCCCTGGCAATCCCCCAGCCCGACTCCTGCGGTTCTGATAGTCTGAATATCATGAGAGGCAAAGATACAGCACAGCCCACTGATTCTGGACTCTGATCTGGGAAGCCTCACATGAAGCTACCTCAAAGGAATGGAGGAGGGAGCAGTGTTGCTGGAGATCTGCATTAATATGTGTGCTGGAGGAGAAGGTGGCTTGCAGACGTGTCACTGCCACCAGCCACATGGCAGAGAAAGGGCTCAGGGCTAGCCAGGGGCTTTGCCTTCCCGGGGGGACCATGGGGAGCATGACATGCAAGCAGCAAGACAAAAAGAGGGAAGAACAGATTAGGATGTTTGGCGTCCTACAAGGGCACTTGGCTCCCTCCAGGCCACCCCAGGACCCATTTCACCCTTTGGCATAAAGCATGTTGGAAGGGGAAGGCATGGACTCTGCCAGCCCAGAGCTGTTCAGAGCACCCAGCAGCAGCTCAGGCAGATGCTGACTGAGGTGCAGTCAGCCCTGAGGTATCACGTCTGCAGGAAAAGGAAAGTTGCCCTTGTTAGCTCTGTTTCTTCCTTTGCTCTCAGACATTGCCACATCCATTTATCTCTAGCTAGAGTTTAGGCAAGGGAAAGGGTTTTTCCTTTCCCGGATACTAACAACCTTTATTTTTAAAAGGTGATTTTATTTCCTCCAATTCCTGCTCTGCATTTGCATGTGGGGACTTGGTGATGTGCAGCATTGGGAGGACACCGTGGCATGGATGCACAGCTTTTTATGGGCAGCAGGTACATCAGATCAGCTCCAGGACTTAGAGTTTACCTGGGAATGGGAACTTAACACTTGGGAGTGCATCTCCACAGACCAGAAAAGTGGATAACCTGCCTGCTGTCAGGAACAAGGAGGTTTGCAGGCAGTAGTGACAGCATTCTGTATAGCCCATTAGCTGTGGCCTAGCTTTACACACACCTTCTTTGTTTTCTCACAGTTAAAAAACCAAAAAAACAACCAAGAGATCAGTATTCAGAGTAAGTTCTACTGAGGCAAAAAAAACCACCAAGCAACTGCAGTCTTGCAGGGGGAATACAAACAGCAGAGATCACTCTTGTATTTTCTATCTGGCCACCTTTCACATCTCATTTGTTTTATTGCACAAACATTAATGGCACTGCAGAACTGTTTTCAGAGGAGGAGAGGCAGCTGAGCACAGATCCCTCTCATTGGCCACAAGTTTTGAGGCCTGGGGAAGGGAGACCAAAGGGTTTGATGACCAGCATGAGAGCACAGCACAGCAGCATCTGACTGTGTAGTGCTGTGTCCTGTCCCTCTCCTGTTCAGCTGAGCTTGCATCCTGCCCTGCCAGCCCCCAACATACAACAAGGCCATCCCAGTGAATGTTCTCAGCTCAGGCCAGTCCTTCCAGTGTTCACAGCTGCATCCAGGTGCAGGAGATGTAGCCACAGCTCCTGTTTCAGCAAAGGCTGCCCCACACTCCATCCACCCTGTTTAACCCAAGCAGCGTCAATCCCAGCAACCACAAGGATTTCTAACCTGTTGGCAAAGTTTGCTGTTTCAGGATAACACTGGCTTTGCCTCCAGTGCTGTCCTGTAACAGCCACGCTGGGGATCCTTGTTAGGAGCAGGAAGCAAAAGCCAGGCACCAGGCAGGGATACCTCAATCCCCTGCAGGCAGAAACCCAGGGCACTGCTGAGGAACAGGCTGCAAGGTGGCCTGTTTCAATCTCCTGATAGAAAATTGGATTTCTCAGCAGGGCAAGTGTTTTTTTCCTCTGCCACAAGACCCAAAGAAACATTTTTCAATAAAAAAAAATAGCCTGGCAAACAACCTGCTTTCAAAAGAAGTGATTTTTCACATACACACACACAAACATACCCACTCAGTAAGATCCAAAAGTTCCACACAAGAGGGGGACTTTGTGCAGCCCCACACACGACTTGCCAGAGGGATGTTTCTCTGATCTGCTGTCATGGGAAAGCTCTGGCATGCCTGTCAGCACCCATGCAGAGATGCAGTGTGGCCGTGTGCCCACCAGCACTCAGAACTCGGATGCTGTTTCAGACAAATCCACTCTTGCACACCAGTTTCGCTTCCACCTGCTCAAGTCACACCTCCCTGCCACGCCAGCCTGGCTTGTCCCTTGCCCTCAGGCTGGGCAGGAGGGTTTGTTCCTGTTGGAATCTGAGGTATTGATGATTCTGAGATTGTAGAAAGTCACTGTCTTTCTGCCCCGTTGCCAAAGAAGAAGTCGTAATTCATCTGTGCTGGTTTCAAGGTTGTTTATTCTGTTTATCTCTAACATGTTCTGCTGCCCTGCCACAGCTCTGTCCTGCAGGGCAGCATGTGGGGCTCTGCCCTCAGTGGGATGTTACAAACATTAAATACCAGAAACTACCTGTGCTGGATTTACAATAATGTGCCAATATCTGTCACCTACGTTGAACAGTGTGTCCCCAGCCTAAACCAACAGAAAAATGCCAACACTACAGTGAAACATGGAGGGCATGAAGAAGGAGAAAAAGGACAAGACACACCCAATTTCCTCCATCTTGTCCCCTTTGAACTCCTAATCTAGAATCCTAAAATTTTACTTTTGCACCCATGCCACATTTAATTATTACTTATATCAAACACTCAGAGCTTGCAATTCACCCTGTAAGATTGAAAACTCTTTTCCCTGGACAGAGATCACAGCCAGTGTCTCTGGGGGCTCTGTCCAGGGGGGTTCCTGACCCCTGCCAGGGTCCCAGACCTGCCAGGGCAGCCAGAGGGAAGCTCTGGATTCCCACATGTGCCCTTGCCAAGCAGGGGCAGAGGCAGCTGCATGCTCAGTCCAGCCCTGGGAACGGGGAGGTGTGAGTAGCTTTGCGTTCTAAGCACCAGCCGTGCCGAGGTTTAGCAGTACCATTTATTCTCACCCACCACGCAGGATCTCAGCGGCTTTAATTCCATGCTAATGAAGTTTTAGTAGGGAATTATTTTTATTGATCTGCCCAGAGCAAAGAGCCTGATTTTAGACCAGCTCTGTCAGCACCCCCATCCCCACAGCTCTTTTCTTTCTTTGGGAGAGGGAAGAAGACAAAACAGCTCTGAGCTCCTTAAAAAGGTTGGCAGTCCCAAGCAGTAAGTGGATTACTTTATTGATTTTTAGCGGATCTGGGTTAGTGAGTGCTTAGCACTGCAGAACACATGCACACACAGAGCAACTTCAAGGAAACCCCTCCAGGCCCTTTCCTCAGGCCAATCAAGCGGCAAGCAATTAATTTAGGAGACTACCATGGATTTTGGAGCGTGGAGAAGTTCCAGTCCCTGCACCCAAGTCAGTCTGTGACAGACAGACTCAAGCAGCCATCCCAGCCTCTCTTAAGCCATACTGCAGGACCTTACAGAGAAAACCCCTCAGTTTCTTGTAGAATAGCACAATTCACAGCTTCAGAGTATTAAATGCTTTTTATTCCCCTGCCCGTCCTCATTGTTGCGTACAAGGAGAAGACATTATGACTGCCACTGTTAATTTAGGAAGGAAAGCCATGGCCATACTGCACCCAGATGGGATTCGGGGCTGCCAGGGGGCATCCAGCAGCCTCACATGGGGGCATCAGTCAGAGCAGGACTCCTGACAAAGCAGAACTGTTCAAGACAACAAGATGCTAACCTTGTGTTGGGATCCCCAGCTCACTCACTCACCTCCCAGTTACCTTTCCAAGGCCACTGTATTTCTGAGTGTGCTGGAATAGCATCTCAAAGAACTCCTCCAGCAGTACTACTCCACCAAGCCTTTTAGGGCGCTGGTCTCTGGAGCCTGACTGCATAAGGGCCTACAGGGGAATAATTTTATCCCACTGTACACCAGAACTAGGAAAGCTGGAAGGTAAATATGGTCCCTTTTCCTTGAACTAGGGAAAAACCCAAATATGTTCAAGAATTCCATCAAGCCTCACCCCATCTTTGTTTAAAGGCAAAGGCAGTCTATGTACATACTGAGGTCACCAATATGGCCAAATAAAAAGGTTGCAGCTCTTATAACCCCACAGCTGCACATTCATCTTCCTCCTGCCAC